CTGAAATAGAAACTTCGATAAGAGTAAATAAATGTAAGAGGGAGTAACTCGAAAAATACTGAAGTACATATCACAAAGAACAATCTGAAAAAAACATTTCGCTAGGAGTGACCGAAAATTACATAACTGCTGCTTAACGTCAAAAGGGTTGTACTAAGAAATCTACTGGGACATACTAACTCGTCACCAAATTATTGAGCGTCGGACATTCCCTTGAAAAAGGTCGTTGGTCGCGGAATTGTAGTAGCTTAATCATGTCTTCTATCGGTAGCGGGGTTTGTCTCTAGTTCTTTACAATTATTTTTTAGTATGACCTTACTGCATCGCAGTTCTCTCGAGGCGGAAATGTTTTTCAGATAGAGTATGCCTGTAAGGCTGTCGAAAATAGCGGGCAAGAAATAACGTCATTATTTTACCCATGTTTTTAGTACAGCCATTGCTATCCAAGGTAAAGACTGTGTAGTTTTTGCTGTGGAGAATATTGTCACATCAAAACTTTACGAGCCCGGTTGTGTTAAACGAATTTATAATATTGATGACCATATCGGGATGGTAATTTATTAGTTACAATGCCCATACATTCTAGGTTGTGATGGGATTTCAAACTGACGCCAAGGCAATCGTTGAGGCAGCCAGAGAAGAATGCTCAAATTATCGTAATAGCTTTGGAAGCCGTATACCTCTCTATGTATGTTTCCCGTTTGCTATATTTCTTTCTATAGTCTCTGACAGAACGACTGGCTATGTACATGCACGCTCATACACTTTATAGTGCGGTCAGACCGTTCGGTGTATCAGTTTTGCTTGGTTCCTACGAAAACGATGGTCCTCATTTGTTCGTGATAGAGCCTTCCGGGTTGTCTTTTGTAAGTCTCCGCCAATATTGTGCCGTAATTTTCTTATGAAGTGCTGTTTTACTCTGAGGTAGAGTAGTTTTTATTTGAGTAATGGGCGAGACTATAATATTTAGACGAGCCAATCAGATTTACGATAATATGTTAATATATTAACGTTAAGTCATCAGACATAACTACATGTTTGTGTTTACGGAAAATCTAATATATATATACATTCACTATTAGCACTAAATCATTTTTGAATACTTCGACTAATTCTATTTTCTGAACATAATGGGTCAAATATACTGTGCTGTTTGCTACTACGTGATGCAAACACGGAGTGAGTAATGCTGAGCTCCTGAGTTAAATATTGATAGTAAATAAGTTTGGTGGGGCTCTATCTTCAGTGACCATATCTGGGGATGTTTCATATGCAGTCATCGCATACCCTAATACGCATCTAAGGGTAAACAGATTTAGAAATGCCACCAGGTTATAAATTGTTAGCCCCCAAGTGCCGAATTTACCCTCAGAGCCCGTGAAAAAGTGCTTTGTTGATTGAGTCTGAAATCAGTCTCAATAACGCGACTACATTCCTTTTGTCTCCTAAATCCAAATTTTAGTGTCCCGTGTTTCCGATTCTAAGTTTTTCACCGTTCTTTACTCATGCGGGTCATTATCCATCCTGTTTCTTTATATTCTCAGTGCTTAGCAAGGCATGTTATGCAGTCTTAACGTTTGCTTTGTTCACTTTCTGCAGTAATTAAAAATTGTAATTTTAGATGAATACTTATAAAATCTGTACTTTTGTCACGCTAGTTTTGAACAGCTTAACAATAGTTCTGTTATGAAGTTTTCGAAATCCAATTGATTCTGATAGTCACTGCAAAATTTCCGTCATTCCATTTGCTCCATTAGAATTGAATCTCTCATATTTTGAAGTCCATTATTTTTTAAATCATTACTCACAACATGCTTTATCCGATCGGCACTCATGCGAAGTTTTAATTTAGTGTTAACTGACTATTTCATTTGATTACTCTTCTCAAGAGATCTCTACTCGTCAGGTTGATAAGCCCCTAAATAAAATGACATGTTCAAAGTCAATTATTCTTCTCAAGTTCAAGCTTGGAAACTAAATTATGGTGTTGGACAGATTATTTATAAAGTTCTAACCTCGGCACTTCAAACTAAGATCTCTAAGTAGTCTACTTATCTGATACATGTGTAATTTGTTAAATCCCTTTCCATGAGCTTCTGTATGACGTTGGTTGTTGTTTGTCAGCAGTGTTATTATTAACCTCAATGTTGTCATACAAAACATCTGGTCACCCAGTAGATGCCCTAGTGGCTTCACTATATTATAGTAGATTTTGATTTAGCTACTTATTATCAAAATAACAAATTTCCTCTATTTTCTAGAATCTATTTATCTTACATTATTGCCTTTATTTTCTTTACATGAAAGGCTTATTTTGGTTGTGCCATCGGAAAAGCCAAACAAAATGCAACAACTGAAATAGAAAAACTGAAGATGAATGATTTGTCTCCTGAAGAATTAATCAAGGAAGCAGCCAAAATGTAGGTCTTCATGACATTTCCCTGTTCATGAGTTCATTGAGTTTACTGATACTTTGGCGCACGTGTAATTGTTCGAAACATCTGAGTATTAGTAAATATGCGCCCAGCAAACAAAGTCCATTCAGTTTGTAGCCAAGTAGAAGAATGTGAAGTACGTCCGACGTTTCGTAGATCAATATATGTGCCTCTAGAAGGTTGTTGTGTTACCAACTTGTATCTTTTGACTGTGTGACAGCTGCTCTGAAGAAAGTGTGTAGTGCCAGCCTATATCTACCTTTTAAGAGACCTTGCCTACATACTCCGATCGAAAAATTGTCTTACTGTTTGAGATGGCACATAAACTGTTCGCTAAATGATAATCATTAAAAACTTCGTAGTAAATAGCGTATAATCACTTTGAATGTATTCGTAAAAAAAGATACGAAAGGGTTAAAGTCTGACAAAAAGTAGAAAGGACAACTAAAATAGTTTATTTCGTTTTCTTTGACTAAAAAAGGGACAAACGTATCTAACTTTCACATACAGAGAATAGAGTTTGCTCAAATCCATATAGCTCCGGCTACTTGTAGAAGACGAAATCGAAGCTCGCTGGGAAGACCAGAAGATATACAACCAACCAATTTAGAGATTTTGGTTTTATCGACAGTAACAGATCGTTAGGCGTACGTATTTCGTCCGACTCTTTCCCAGCCGCAAAAGATGCTCGTTGGCTAAGTTAGTTAGTAGTTCAGTGTAGCTCAATTCACAGGAGCAGCTGAATTAATAAATGCAACTTAGAGTAGTAAAACCAGCTAACTTACCCTTTGATTAGCCGACCAGATAGCATCTTTGAGAGGCCTATCTTGTAATTTCGTTTTTAATAACATACAAATTGACGGGATAGCAATGAGACCTTTTTAGGTGTTATCTTACCTAATCTCCCTAAACTATTTTAGTAAAGAACTTTTGAGGGAGTTTAACTGTATACCTTCTGTGACTTGTTCACTTGTGAAAAAAGATTAAAGACAAATGGCATTTCCTTGACATTTTATTATACAGAAAAGATAGGTGTATCGGTATTTACAGTGTGCTAAGTAGTTTATGTACGTCTCAATACATATTTCTCTACTTTCATAATTATTCCCTGCAAGGGAAATGTAATCAAACGTTTTTCACCAACTGTTGCTTATTACCGAAAAGATCATTAAAACCAAGAGATATAAAAGTTTTTCCGAATCGACAGGCGTGGACCACTGAACTCTGACTTAAAGCTATTGCAGTTTCCTAAGGCCTGGGGCCTCGTTCGATGCAATGCCTTTGGTGTACATTGCTCGATTCCAAACTAGGAGTGTCGTTTGTATATGGATGCATGCATGAGTTACGGATTATTGGCCAAACGTATTTACAGCCAAAACGACAATAGATAACCGACACGCAAGATCACAGCCAGAAGGAAATATAGGTAACTAACTACATTTATGAATTACAGTGAAGTTTATTTGACACCTGTCCATGAAAAGATGGATATGTTTAGAGTTGGGAAGGGCTAGCGGCAGGTCTTACTAATATCTGCTTAAAGTACTATCCGTATTTATCACAGTGAGCTTCGTTAAGTCCTGCCAATTAGTGTCACAAATAAACTGTAAACGATTATAAGTCTTCTGATATTAATGTGCCTCAAAATATTTTCCGGACTAGAATTGATGATGTGGTAAATCAGTACAGTGATACCATGACTTAAATTTTAAACTAAAAGGGCACAATAATGACAAGAATTATTAAGGTCACTACCAATATTAACCTGTCTTATTGTGTTGAATCAATGGTCACGGTTTTGTTTTTGTAGAATTTATACCGTTCACGATGAAATCAAGGACAAAAATTTTGAATTGGATCTTAGTTGGGTTGGTGCAAGTAAGTCTATTGATCTGATAATATATACATACGTTTAGATACAAAGGGTATACATCAACCTGTTCCTCGCAAACTCTTTGATGAAGCAGAGACATTCGCCAAACAGGCCTTAGAAGAAGCTGATGATTTAGATGACGAAGTGGAATAAACTATGTACATTTATTATTTTCTAAATATAAGTTTTTTGAACCACATATCTTTGAAATTCTGTGGCGTCTCTCAAGCGCAGGTTTTCAAACCAATCTTTATAAGACGACAATCATCATTTTGGATATAGTTGTTGGCATTGCACTGAGTGTTCCCAGGAATTGATGGGTAGATATAAAACGTTTGATACTCTCTTTGGTGTATCACTATCGCACCAAGTATTTCGTCTCCCCATTACCGTTTATGTCCCACTTACCCAGGGAGTGAGGTGTCCCATCAATTAGGGAATAAGTGTGTTATTTAGCGTTTCATTTAATACTAACTTGTCTGTAAAACACTAATACGGTTAATACTATCCGGACAGTTTTTTGAAGCATTGTTCATGTAAGTTCTTAACTCTCACCCATTCAGCATGATATAAAACAACCAATATTTGTTGTAGCAAGTGTATTTACTCAAGATCGCATTGATTTTTGTGTTCTAAATGAATATACAATCACAGTATATTAGTTTACTTTGTAGAAATAACCAGAATCAACATTACTTTAGATATTCATTATCTATAAGGTACTCCTGGAGCATCGGGGCCAGTGGTAAACGCCTAATAAGTTCATTTACAGGTTGTTTAGGGAAAGAACGATGTTGCGTGGAACGTCTGAGACATGTGCGTATAGTAACTTTAGACCATAATGAGAGACGTTTCGGCTCAGACAACCATTTACTCAGCCAGTCATTCACTAAATTATTCAAATAACTAGAATGATCACAACCCATTTGTCTCAATGGTAGAATCTGGGATATGTTTCTAGGTACTTTGGTATGTCGACTAGACTCAACATAGCATGCAATTAATATATTGAACAACTTGATTTTGTAGTCAGTTGATATTGAACGTGGCCAGTCTTTAATATTGCTTAGGAATTTCAGACCTAATTTAGCTGAAAAGTTTACAATTAGATTTAATAAACAATATTGATGAAGCACATGAACTGTAGCAGTCATCAATACATTGGGATTAACGTTTGAGCAACTACTACTACATTCAATATCATCATCAGATATCAATGGTAAGAAATGCTGATACACAATAGACATAAAAATTTCATGTCCAGGAATATTGTTAGATGCTGGAAAGTAAGAAAGGAGATAAATTAATTTCTCATGATTCCCTGGAGGAAGTGGTTGTAATAATTGGCATTCGCGATAAGCATGATTTAAAAATTTGTCCATGGACCACTGAGTATCATTTAAGGGAAAAAGTTTTAAATTAGTATACAACACAGCACGTGAAATAGCAAAAGTGAATATATTATGCCAGAAGAAATCGAAGACAGATTTTGACTGCCTTACACTGTGTAATTCCAGAAGTGTTCCTAGGTTATATTCATGCTCATTAAATTTCGCCTTAGAACAAACTTCACGCCAACAATCGATCCAATCTGTATATGGGAAACGTAAGGCTAAGACAGCGAAATATAGTACAAGCGGCAGCAAACACCTGTCTGGAACTGTATTTTTTGGACTTCTATCGATATCTGCTAAATTCCAAATCAATTGTTTTTGGACTTCCGGTTGTTCAATACAAATCCTTGGGAATCCCCATTGAGACAGAACTTGCAACCAAGTTCTAGCAGATGACGGGGGTGTGTATAATCCTAACTTTTGCAAGCGATGAATACAACTGAAGTTCTGACTAAATGGAACGACTTTTCTTAAAAAGTAGGATGAAATACGCATTAAACAAAGAGATACTTCTTCTTGATGAATAGACCAACGTTCCACAGCATCTGACCCCAAGTAAATCAAAAATTCTTCAATCCCTATTATTGATGGTTCTTTCTACATGCCAATAATAAATAACAAGTAAAGAAACAAATTTATTTAAATTTACATAACTATTGCAATTAAATTATACAATATGCTCTAAGAGTTTATAAATCTACTCGCATTGAACTTCATAATTGTTTCATTTGGAAGGAACACTGTATTTAATGTTATTGCTTCGATATTGTTTCTTTGTTTTAAGTAGTCTCTTTCCTATTACATCAGTACCCAATAAAGTACTATTTAATAATTTGAATTTCGACTTTCAAAGAGTATCATCTCTATATTTTATTTAGGCCTAATATTGTTGGCTGGCAACACAAATAGGGGGTGTACTTGACAGTGTATGTTGCACAAAACAACTAACATACTTCATTAAAATGCGCCGAGTTTGTAATTTAACTGTGCAAGAGCTTACTCAAAATTAAAATTAAAAAAACAGGTCCGAAATGCAAAGGTAATGTAACAACAGAATGCTGCTGTTGGAATGAAAGTAGATTAACGTTACCCTATGTAGAGTTAGTCTTCCAATCAGGCAAGTTGTTGGTCCGTTGTTAGAATCTGTCAAAACTATCATGCTGTAAACTTTTACGAGTGGCTAGAGGTGAATGAATAAAAAAGCGACCATCAAAACGGCAAGGTTCAGCAATCACTGACACTACGTTGACAATGTATGAAAATTATATCGATTATTGAAACTTACTTCAAGAACAATGGCACAAATTTCCTCAAATTCACTTAGCATGTATGGGACAGCATGAGCCTTTAGGAGCTTGAAATAAGCTAAAGATATTGAAAGGTCAGTATGCAATGCTAAAATCCAATAGCGATCCCGGCGTAAACAAAGAAAATTTATGTCGAGTGCATCCAGGACGTTAGCGGTTAACTAACATGGTTTTAATAATATGTTTTAGTATAATGTGAACACACCTTCACGTTATCTTGACTTAAAGCAGCCACCAGAGGAGGCACATCATCCGCACACCGATAATCTGTTTCTGCTCCTGCACTTATCAGTAGATTAAATGATTCATAATCACTTTTCTCAACGGAAATGGTAAGAGCATCTTTACCCTTTAAAAGATGTTTATTAGTATACTAACTTACCATGAAATTTTTACGTTGAACTTCCGTTGCGCAGTCAAGATCCTTGCGAGCTTGTAGAGCAGAAATGCATATTTTAACACACTCCCATGAACCAGACATAGCAGCAAAATGAAGTGGCATATTGCCCTGTTAAATAAAGACAAACTTCCCGACTTACATCAAAGTCAGGAAGATTCGCCAAACCTGGATCCCCAGATAAAATTTGCAGTAACATACTGGGGTCCCCAGACAATGCTACTCTGAAAATAGTATGTGCAAATTCCATTGCTAAAAGAGCGTGTATATTGTTTGACAGATTACACTCAATGACTACTGGATGACTAAAGATAAGCTGTGAATATATAAATTGAGAATTTCATCACGAAACGAATCTGAATAGAACAAGGTAAAAAGAAATATAAGTACATGCATTTTATTGAAGCATCTCAAAAATCATCAGTTAATGCCTAGAATGTAATTGTTTATGATTAACTGATTGTATTTTCAGGTGCTTACAGATGATGATGTTCGAAATCTGTTATCTTGAGGACATCGACTATCATATATACCATCAAAAGCATAATTTCTAAAATTTTAATGTAGCTTACTACTCAATACACTCGACTTTGAACAACAAGTGTGTAAAACTGGATTGAAAAATGCAACCCATTGGTCAGAGATCGAGTGTATTTGTAAAACATAAAGCCCACCAGCAGAGATAAGTTACATTTTTAACCTAACCTCCTACGCGAACTAACACCTATTCAGAGATAATCATGACATAAAGGGCAAAATGATGTGAAAATGTGGATTTCAGGACGAAGAAGCAGATTATTGTTTCACTCTAGCTGTCACTGTTTTGGACGTAAATAACACTAGATGAGTCGTACAATCAGTTCAAGACGTTATATGAACGTGGTATTAAGTGCTAGCACAACAAAACTTTAAAGTTGCCTAGTTAGAAGATTCGACCACTTTAAGCCGTCAGTGCCTATTACAGAAACCACTACACATCAAGCATGACAGCTTCCAAGTGAAAAAAAGCTTTATTAATATACTTCGACCTCTTCAGAAAGGTGACCCCTCCATCTTGGTGTATATAGTTTACGTATATCGCGTTTTCCGTGTGTAAGCAATCATATGTCAGCAGCTATTAATAACCGTGAGGCACATAAGATTTTCCAAAAAGACCCAGAAATAGCATATCGACGGATGTAGATACTCAACATGTTCAACTACAAACCAACCGATTTTAGTCCATAAAAATTACGAAATGACTCACCTTTTTACTCAAACACTAGAACTGTTCATGGCTATATCTGTCTCGGAATTTCGTTACATACTGCTGGTTAAACCCAGGGTTGACAAGTTCGCCCCGGAATACCAGTTTATTTCTACAAAATAAGTTGAGATTTCCAACTATAGAAAAATTACACGTTCACTTCGTTTCATTAGTGAAATTATTGTCTTAAATCTAGTTATTAAAAGCTATCCTAGCATAAACTTTCAGCTTGAGTTGATTGACATTTCTATAGAGGTGACTACTATAGACATTTGGAATCTCATGAGAACCTCACCTTAAAAATCTATAACAACACAAACTTCCTGAACAATGAGTGTTCCCCAGACTATGATCAAAGAGGTTTACGAACAAAATTTTCTATGACAGATATGATAATATAGTCTTCTGTCTTGATATTTCACTTGGGTATAAGTTTAGGGGCAAGGTGTTTTGATTTCCCAGACTAGGATTGACATTACGGTTGAGCTCTCCTTGCTGTGGTCCAAACAATATGTTCCGTTTTCCAAGACCGTTGTTGTCGTGACGTTAGCTTAGTTTACTCCGGCCAACCAATAGAGCTTTACTTGACACATCATGAAGCCTGTTGGGAATACTGTCCCATTATCTGTTTATTTAATTTAGCACATCAGATGCAAGTTTTTTTATCGCATAATAATCTCAGTTGTGAACATGTTAAAGATGAGCAGAGCGCGACTACTGGTATCAATAGAGAAATGTGCTTGATACTTCAGACTGTTCTGTGGTCACATATGAGATAAAACCTAGCTTCAATGGCTTTGATATCATTATCATATCTTTTATCTCCTTATTTAGCCTCGGACAGCACAGTGCATTTGATTGCAGTATGACCTAACTCATTCATGAGCATTGTAATGCTCGGAAGAACCTCGGCCAATATCGGTTGTTTCTTAAATTAAATGCTGTTTAGTTCGTTAGGTATTCAGTGTTATTGACACTGATACAAAGGCAAATCAACCCTATCAAATATCTCGTTGAGTATATAATATCACAAAATATGAGCAGAAAGTTGAAGAGTTGAGTGAAACAGCAACCCAAACATACAACAGTCTAGTTTGTGTACAACTGAAACGAATAGAAAGTTCCCCCATCGTACTAAGTAAGAGTTATACAACCCTGCTACCAAAGGCAAAATCTGGAACACCGCGGTCCGAATGAAGGTCAAGCAGTGAGGGTTGAATACACTTTTTCGTGATGAGCCAGATTTTCGGTTTAAGTGAATACTTTCGTCCAGCGGTAACAAGGTTTCTGAAGTCAGCATTTATCATGTTGTTCGACAAACGAACAGTTGATTTCAGTATTTAGATTCGTACGTCAGGATATAAATTAGTGGAGAGAGAAGTACTCCCCGCTTAACACGTGTTAAGAGGAGTAAACAAATTACTTAATTAACAAAAAGACATAAGAAGTAATAAAACGAAATAGAGCTTACCTGTGAGAAGTTCTTCGGGCATAAGAAATAAGCTCAAGCATGTCCCTGGTTGTGATTAAACGTCATTCCAGGTGAAAGAGAGTAAACCTGGATAACATGCTCGATAGTCATGTCACCTTTCTCAATTGTCCATCTAAGGAACAGTAGTTACGACGGCTGAAATGGCGCTTTAAAAATGATCGAGCAGTAATAATGTTTTCTGGTGGACTAGCTGTTCTCTGAGTGTTTCCGAGTCAGATTCTGTAACTGGCTTCCAGTAAAGCTTTGCCTTGATGGTATAGGTAAGTTGCATCTCGTACATTATCTAGCGACTCCCTGCTCTCTTAAAATCCAAAGTCACAAACTTTGAGAAGAACTGAAATTATTGTGGATTTTGAGACACTAGCAGATGTAAACCTTAGAAGGCATCTTAAAGAACTAGGTAGTTTGCATTCCTAACAGTATTCCGACGAAATAGAGAGTTGAATATACCTTGCTTTCATCTCTGGGATAACTCTTGCTAGTATTCTAACTTTCTGTTAACAAAAGACATGGGTCACGATTTCTTATGTCAAAGATGTCACAAGTATCCGGAGTTCGACAACGCCTTGACAAGTAAAACCTTTATAATCAAAGTATGTCAACGCAGTCTAATCAGGAGTCTAGAATGAAAGAGTTCGAAGTTGTATTTGGAAGGCTATCAATGTGTCGAAGGAACGTTTGGTCTTGGATAGCTAGTAGCTGAAAGGGATGAATACCACGGCGTACCTACTCGTGATCTGGGGCAGATGTGTGACCAAGCACCATCAGGTAGGTGAGTCCAGTCACACTAGTGTGGTCATCATCATATTTCAAAGAATTACAGAACCACTGATTTTGAAGATTTACTTACCACTGCAGTTTTTTTCGGTCGTCCTTAAACGTTTCCTAAATTCTTTTGGATCACCCCCACATATGACACTTCTCCATTGCTTAAGGGAATCTTTCAGGTAGAAAAATAAGAAAATAATATTTTGGAGGGACAGTCAATGGCCAATATAGGTATTTTTGCTCCTCAAGACATTGCTAATCCTCCAGTTTGAATCCGATTCATTGAAATTTCTGAACAGTTAATAAACCGTAAGAGGAGTTAACGAGTGAGTAGTGTTCGCTTTATTTTCATCCTCAGGGTGGTGTGGGGTGCTACGTTCAGTATCTTGACAAGGTCCTGAAGTAATCCATGTGTGGGGAATCCCAGAAACTTGTAGAACTGTTTCACGCTGACAAGCAATTTATGATGTCAGATCTGTCTTTCATGAAGACATGCGGATTCCTAAAACGTACCTGTCTTTACTGAATAACTCTCTAGCACGGCTATACAGCGGGATTTGAAATACTTTGTTAATACTTGAGGCAGTTCTGTATACACCCAACTACTGAAGTTCTTCACCATAATAATACACCTGTTTTTTAGTGGTTTGTACAAATTATGGTTGTCGTCGTTTAGTAAGTTTCACCAACCATCCTAGTGTTCCACATTTTCTAAATCAGTCGTAAAATTCATTTTTAACTCTGAATGTTTATGATAATTAGAATTATGCGAATTGATGTGCTAAGAATTCTTGAAATGGTGTAATTTAAGGTAGGTAGAACTAGATATGCACAAATGAACGCATTATATTTGGAATTTGTAGTAAACGCGCAATCAGGTACAAAGGAATCATTAGTTCGTACAAATATCATTATGCCGTCGTATCTGGATTTCACATTTACTGTTGAATATTTTCCCGGACTGTGTTTTTTATAACTGTTCGGTATTTTGGATTAGTAGATTTATTCAATTATACTTCATGCCGTCCAACATTACTAGTGGAACAAAAGACAACAATCGAGCGAGCTAACTCAAAATGGATAATTTAAAATGAACAAATTGTTTGAATCACACGAAATATCTACGCGTTCGAGCAAACTTATGTTAGAGACACTAGCTTCATCTTTACATGCAACCTGTCGATGACACACCATCACGACTGAAAGGGTATTTTGACTACAGCAAGATTATTAGTCGCTGTTATTTCATTTTCGTGCCTCACATATCGAATGTGATGACAGTATGGTTATAACTACTTTTAGGGATATGTACATGTACGTTTTCGTCCAGAAGCTGGTCATTTGACAGTAGTCTTCACGATTTCTCATCTTTCCATCATCTAACATCGTGGACCTTATAATTAACATCTAGTGTTAGTCATTAGGGGTTTGGTGGAAAATCGTATGAGTGACCTAATGTGAACGGGGTATTAGAGCCAATAGCTTGGTGTGACTGGCGAAACCTATGTGTGCTAGTAATTATTGCATTTGTAATATCTTTCGTTCGTGTATATTTTTACCTGACAGATCGATATATCTCCCTTATGAAATAGTTAGTATCGTTGGCAATGAAGCTGAACCAGGTGAACTGCCTGGTTTTTGTTACCACTTCCGATTACTATACTACTTTGGGTGCGCACTTCATTGTATTATCTAGCAACGACCAGGTTTGTACTAAAGTTATTAATCTCATTTCGATGCAGACACATATTCTTATTGGATCTCCTAGAAAAAACTAAGTCCCTCGAAATTACTATAGATCATTCCCGGAAAACGATTAGTGACTAATCTTTTTTCAAATATACTGAGAGATGATTGTAGGATCCAAAATAAGGTTTGCACTGAAGAATAAGTGTCTAGATAGTTTAGATACGCGCTTTTGCCCAATTTAAACCAAAACAAGGTGATTGGGTACCAGATTTCATTAAAAATATATGAATGTACATTATTACCTAAACAAATATTGCCAACCAATATTTGTTCAATTAGTAGACAAATCTAAATTACAATAAATAAACAAGTTGATAAAAAATGTACGAAAATCATCCAAACGCAACAAATAAATGTTATTCTATTCTTTCTGGATAGATCAAGTACAGACTCGTTCGAAAGGTAATACTTGGTTGTTTTATAACACAGAGTGTTTCGATTCACAATAAAAAATACACAGTTGCTGTCAATGAAAGCAACACAATCAAAGGGGGAACAAATCAAGTTGGCTGCCGCCAAGACTAAGTATCAACTAAGACAACATAAAAGCAGTTCAGGAATGAACATGGAAACTCAGTGAAGACGTGAGAAACAGAAACATTATAATAAAATACAATATTACTACCTAAAATGGAATCAAAAAGACTAACGAAACGTACGACTGAAGAAACCAATATAAATAAATTATAAGTGTATGCACGGGGATAGTTTCACACACAAAACCTTCAAAATGGATCTTACAATGATAATGAGTAATAGTTTGTACAAGGTAACTTTTAAAACATATTAAAATATTTTAGATGTGGTACTGATAAAATAGACTTAAATGCAGAATTAGACAAAATACACCCAAAAAAACTCTAGTAGGGGCTGCGTACTCGGTAGAGTTTAAGTCTACTTACTGACCGGTCTCGTGAAACGCGGCTCACGAGTTTTATATCTTCGCCTGACAGAAACATCCACTGTACTTTTACACTTGATCGCCTTAACCAGAAGTCGCTGTTCAAAGGCTAGCGATATAGTTGTGGAGTTCATGTGACTTCCCTGGCTTGCATGAGCAACTGAGGTCATAACATCAAGGATGTATTAATCTATTGACCTGGGCAAATTCAGCTAAATGCTCTAGACTCTTGAATTTGATAGCCAGCAATCTAGGTGAGCTTAAAAGAGTCCTGATCGAAGTTAAACATGCAAAACAGAGTAGGAGAATAAATAAATAACAATGTTGTTTTCCCATAAAATATTCTCCACGGGTTTCCAACGTTCTCTCTCTGTCACAGATAAAAACAATATTTTAGGGTGGTCGAACACTTCCCTAATAACCAGTTGAACATTAAAAGCCCACAGTTTTGATTGACAGACTAAGGAGTAAAGTCAGATTTGAGTGGCTTGCTGATAGCTGCTTTTGCCATCAAATGTCTAATATCTTTGTGATCAGCAAGCACAAACTAAGTATTTTACTCTTGTGTCTATATTTAAGCATTCTTTCAAGCCCTTGATAGCGTTCAATGAAGATGGTCTAGTCATCGGAATATAACAGTTCTAGTGATTTGACAGTTATTTGGGGGTCGGTATGATTACCATCCGTTACCCAATTTAGACTATTTCTTTCTTACCAGTGAATATGCCTTTTGCTTATTGAAAACAATTAATATCTGATGAGAGCCAGTTAACGACAAATGTAGATGTTTTGAACTGAAAAGTTAGTTTTAAAAAGATACCCATTTTACTTTCAGATAACAATAAGTTATAGAAACTTGTAGATCATTAACGTAGATTATCTGTGTCGAACGATTGGGGGCTTAATGAAGTTAGACGGGAATGATCTGACGAACCAGCTAACTTCAAATTCATACCTCGCAGTCAGCAGCTAACGTGAATATCAAAGTACTGTAGCTGCTTTGAAGACAGTATAACGCAAAAAACGTTATTACAGAGATATATTAGTAAGAATAGGTACAAGGAAGAGATTATGACCACTACCGCATGGGCCAGTCTATGGCGTGCGATTAATTGATGCGCGTTAGTTTTCTTTGAACTTGAAAATAATCAGTGAAGTGTTCGACATTCAGTGTCCCGTCTGCTTAATGATTTGGCTAGGGCCCAGTGAAATTTTGCTAGCCCTACAAAATTGTGAATTTCATACAGACATGTTAAATCAACATACCAGTCCACGCATTTTGGGAAATGATATCTGATTGGATGTGGGATTGTTAAATGCATTAGTTCAGTTCTACTAGTCAATTTGTGCTCAGTTGTGTGAATAATTAGAATTTCTTGCATGTCAGTCCTCTTAATATTCCTGTATTTGGTCATCTGTCATATTTATGTATCTGTTTATCGTATTCTATCACTATATTGATCTATAAATACTTGAGACGCGCTGACTAACTGACACTTTTGACAGTCTACATCCATTTCAATACAATGAAGTTTAGACCAGTCTAATGCAGTCCTGAATTTATTTCACCACAATGCAATCGTTAGTGATTCTAAGTGCCAGTGCCAAATAAATCCAATTCAATTACAGTGAGGTGTAATTCTGGTATTATTTCAATACTACTACTATTTCAGTCGAGTTCTGTCCGTTCATTTCAATAATACTTTGTTATTTACCATCGCATATGCCGGTGGATGCAATTACTGAAATATGTATTTAAGAACACGTGTGTTCTAGATCTTACTTTATTCATTTGTCCTCAGTCATAGATTACCAAGATAAGAGCATAATACATGCACACGTGTATCTATAACTTCATCTATTCCTGCGAAAAGAGCTATGTTGAGCCTATAACCAGATGACTGTGCAAGCTAGTTGGTGAACACCTCAGTTCATGGTCAGGAAAGAGCATAGTCGGAATAACACGCAGCAACATTCTGCCACACTTGATCAACACCAGTCATGAGGCAGACAAAATGAGTCATCTAAATTAGTTGTTTATCTAATACCTTTGTTTATGTTGTTTGATCTCGTCTCTTACTGCTACGTCCTTAATCTATCTACTTACAACATGCAGAAGAATATATGTCTCAATCTGGATTAAGGCTTTTAAATAATAGACTGCCTGATTTAACACTGAGGCTAGAAACGCGTGAGTCCGAAGTGAAACTAACTGTCTTAGGTAGAGAGACGAAAACTATCCTATACCCTAATTAGATGACTAGCGCCTGCGAGAGAGAACACATTTCAACTGGAACACTATTCCATTTTTTCTCAATTCCGATCGGGTTCCCGATTCAGATTAGTGCATAAGATACATGAATAAATTTATGGCTAACACAACCACAACGTACAAGCCATTGGGAAAATAGAATTATGTCAGAATGGGAGTTTGTGGATATTAGGGTAGAAAGTAGAGTATAAAAGATTACGTTTAAATAAAGATAGCTTTGGAACAGAAAATGATATGGCAGTAAATCATACATCAAAAGAATGCTTATTAATATTATTATTATCATCATTAGTAGTAGTAGTAATAGTGGTGGTAGTAGTCGAATTCGGTATGCTAACTACCAGTTCTCAGAACTATTCATGTTGTACTCTGGTAGCTACCCATAGATCTGTGTTTAATTCAAATCCATGAGCGCAAACGAAGTTATTTTATTTGGAGTTTGTAGTGGCTGTGGTTCGTTAACCAAATACCCTCGCAACCGTTATCATATAATCCTCAACGGTGTTTAAAATCATAAGGCAAAGAGAAGCAGCGACTACAGTTTTATTAGCAGATAACTCAGACCGCTAAGCAGAGAGGCGAATGAGTGAGTCAGCGAGTCGAAAATGTATATAGGATTAAATGTACATGTATATAACATAGGGAAATGAATGGATCATCGAATCAGTTAAACAGCTAATAATAATTTACATTGGTAAACCAACGGACGAACTTCGTTAACGTGGTTTTTGCAATGATGTTAAAAAAACCATGGAGATAAAATTTGTTGATTAAGTTAAACAAAATGTTTTATGTAAATTTCATCAATTTTATCCTTGACTCAGCTGGTACAATCGTAAAGAGAAATGTATATAACGTCCACAAGAGGCTGTTTCAACATCAGGACTAATTCTTCCGTGCCCATAAGTATTTTCTAGTAGCCGATTATTTCATGCTAAACTTAACCATACTTAATGTTACTAAGGGGATATTTAAAATAAAACACATTTTTAGTTAACGAATAAGTTTATTAACTAAATAAACAAGTGACACAAAATTGTTTTACATTTTCTGTGGTCCTATAGGTGCCGTACTTTGACACTTTGCAATACCTGTTTTCCACAATTCTTTAACAGGTACAAGGTCTGAACTTCGATATTTTGTGTACTGATGATCATCAACTTCAAGATTGTTTGATCTAAACGGACCACTTGACCATTCATCATGATCATGGTTACCTTGTAATTCTGTAGTTTTTTTAGAAGAAAAATGAACTATGGTGTTTTGGAAATATTTTAACGTCAATTCATGTTCCCGAAATTTATACCTGAAAGTTAATTAAAATATTACAGAATCAGAAGTGAAAATTCGATTAAAATAGATACTTTTTTTGACGTATGTATGCAATACAGATAACTAAATTAATCAATGGATCTATGATATTCAGTTAGATACTACTGACAAAGGTGGTTATCCGCGGCTTATTTCATTCTAGTTTAGAAAAGAACAAACAACTAGCAGTAGTTTTTGTAACTAGTGAAGTAACTTAAAAGTTTAAAATATCGTTAACTATGTCTTAATATTTTCCTTCAGTTACAACTATTTGACAGAGACTATTTTATCCACGGATCTTGTGTTTATTATCTAATAGCTGGTAATGTTTTCTTTATATATCTAGCGCTTATAACCAGTCTAGTATGTATTTAATGAATTAACGCCATATAACTGACGGCTCAAAGTACGAAACATAATCATTATGAAATTAAATTTATTTATCAATAAACTTAATGAGAGTACCTAATAGAAGAAAATTCATTTCAATAGACCCTTCTTAATTTTTAATTGTCATACGTTGATCCTACATAAGTTAATATTTAATTTGTTAGTTATCTTATCTAGTAGTTGAATTCATGAGTCAGTTGAAGCTAGATCATTATGGAAAACCTGTAAGTACTGGACAGCCGTTTCCTACTTTTATGGGAGTCCTCAAAAGTGAGTATACACGATCCCGCCTCACGAGATTCGAACCCAGGACCTATCGGTCTCGCGCTCGAACGCTTATCCTCAAGGCCGTCAAGCCGGCATCCAACGGTGTTAATGTCTAACGTCAGGTAATCCACGAAATTTAGCGACACATCCATCATCGTTTTCAGTGAGTTAGTATTTCACAACAGACTCAGCTGAACTCCATTAGTCATTGCTTCCCACCAGAATTGCAGGAAATACTTCTTGAAGACCGTCACTAGTTATGTTATTCACATCTAAAACCACATAAAATACTCATCAGAACATACTACTAACAAAGAGTTTTAAAAGAATAAGACTCAGCCTATTTTACTTTACAATGAAAAAGTATGTGTTCAAACATTAATCAAATATTCTTTTTACAATTTAGTGTAGTTCTCACCTGTTTACCAGCATCTACTTAACTTTGAATTAATAAACCATGCAAGAATGAGTAAACATAGATTGATAAACTATAAACAGTTTATTAAAAGCGGTAACTATTGTATGTACTCTTATCAGATTGACTTATATGGTTTTTTAGGTATTCGACGTACATGATTGATTTATGGAAAAGAGATTAATCAATTTATCCCATGAAAAGCAGTTAATCTATAGGGTGACTGCCTTTGAATTTCCTAGAACTAATCTTTTTATCGTCACATCTTGGATTATATAAATCAATGGTTTTTGAATAACATCACCCAATGTTTGTGAAAACATTTTAAAACAATTCATTTGATGATATAATATTCACTAAGCTTATTGCTTTTCATTGTAATGTTGTGGAAATGTAGAAAAACGAATATATTATTAAAAGCTGTTTTCTCTTTGGGAATTTTCTCAGTTAGTCAGCTACAACATAAGACCAGGTACTTATATGCATCGGTCCAAGTTGTCACACCTCATTAGCACAACAAGATGAACACCGAATTCATAGAAGTACTTAATTCAATGGTGGTAATATATAAAAGAAAGATTGCACATAAGGAGATAGTACAGGAAGAAGGAATTAGTTCGTAGAAAGATATGAAGCGATTTAAACCTCACGGCTTAAGGGAAGACAAAGAGTGTATACACCTATGCCATTGTGATCAATTCGGAGCCATGTCACCCAGAGTCTTCAACCATTGGTTGCGATAGTCACACGAACCCCAATCAAGTAGTCTGCATCTACCAACATGGCTCAGACCAGAAGTTAGTGACTTCAACCACTGATGCCACATTTTGGTTTGGCCTCCCCTAACTTTTTCCCAACCATCCCGAACACCGGTTAGCATTGCACTTCGTGGTGACTGGTGTTCAGAAGATCTCAGGTAGACAGAAAGTTTGATTTTGAAGTCAATCATTATCATCATCGTGAACAATAGTAAAGTTTATTTCTATCATGCTTAGTTACTTTTATGATGAATAAGACATTCAGTGAAGTCCTATAAATAACCAAAACAATAACAAGGAATGATAGATTCAGAAACCTAACAATCCTTGATCTTCATTCTCGTCAGAACTCATATAGAATAATATTCTCAAAAAAATATTCATTAAAATGGTAATATACGACAGAAAACCAATGAATATTCATGTACAGAATAATCTGATCATTACTGATACGTATTCGCACAATGTAGATAGTTATTCATGATTAGATTAAAATAAAACTTAATCTGTTAGTACGAATGCATAGAATTATAGATTTAAGCATCAGTTAGAAAATAAATGAGTCCTACAATAGGACGAAACGGCCGTCCCGTGCTTCCAGGTTTTCAATAGTGGTCTAACATCAATCGGTTCATGATCTCAATCAAAAACTTGACAATCTCCACAACCCCTAAAACTGATAGAAAATAAATGTTTCAATATAGTGAAAATTCCCATTTTGCCATTTGGTAAATTAAGAAGGAACGAATTGAGCAATTGAGCAATTCGTTCCTTCTTAAATAAATGTTTGACTGTAAACTGTAGATTATATTTCGGTTATCTAGTAATGTGTAATCTTTATGCACTAGTAGAAAGATCATTCATCGGAAAGCTGACATTATTCTTTAATAACATGATTTATTTTGATGATATAAGAAATTGCAATCAAATATACTGGATCAACTCTTAAAGTTTAAACTTTACATTATACAAGGAAAGTATTGTGTGAGCAATCATCATCAGTTGTATAAGATTTGGAAATATTGAACTCACTTTATTAACCTGTCTAAAAGTAGTATGATACAATGCTTACTTACTTACTTACTTACTTACTTACTTACCTATTCCTGTTACTTCCGTAAGGATGATACAATAAAAGATTTTTAAATATCAGATCATCATATAAAAAGTTTATATAAAGCTTATGACGTTGAAAGAATTCCATAAATGATCTTTAGTACGTTTCGGTTAGTATAGTACATCATAATTATAAAACATTTAATATTTATAATCAAAAATATTTGAATCATTAATTGTACATATATGAAATTTGTCAGTTTGCCTAATAGATCTTATTCATTTATTATATACAATAATTTCAACTTACTATTTAATATTGGATCTTGTATTTAATGTTAATATTATTTCTAGTTCGAAGTAAAGACCGGTGTCAGGCAAGGTTGCTTACTCTCACCCTTTCTTTTTCACCTAGTGATCGACTGGATCATGAAGATATCAAAATCTGGGGGAGGGGGCAAGCATAGGATACAGCTGGATGATCTGGACTTCGCAGATGATCTCTCTCTTCTATTGCAAACGCTCAACAACAAACACTGGAGAAGCTTTAGAAGATGTAAAAACTTTTACATATCTGAGTAGCATCAGTGATGAACACGGTGGATCTGATGCAGATGTGAAAGCATAGATTGGCAAAAGAAGAACACCATATTTACAATTGAGGAACATCTGAAACTCAAAACACCTATTAATCAACACCAATGTCCGAATTTTCAATACAAATGTCAAAACAGTTCTACTGTATGAGGCAGAAACTTGAAGAACTACGAAAGCCATCTTCCAGAAGATACAAATGTTTATTAGCAGCTATCTACGCAAAATACTTTGGATCCATTGGTCAGACACTATCACCAACAACCTATTATGTGAGAGATCAAACCAGATTCAAGGGAAGGAAGAAATGAAGAAGCGCTGGAAGTGGATAGGATTTAACTGTATCTTCAACGCTAAAAGTAAAGTGGAAGACCCAAGTTCACATTACACCAAGAAATTGAGAAATAGACATGAGAAAAACGGACAATAATTGAATAGAATTAGAACGGAAGATCCAAGACAGATTGAATTATTAGAGAATACTCCATTACAAGTAACAGATGTAAATAACTAAGTAAATAATTATAAGAAACAAATAAAAAAATTCACTGGTTGAATTCATAAGTCAATTGAAGCTAGACCACTATGGAAAACCTGGTCGGTCGCTTCATCCTAGTATGGGACTCCTCAGCAGTGCGCATTTCACGACCTCGTCCCCCGCGAGATCCGAACCCAGGACCTAGTGGTTTCGCGCTCAAGCACTTAACCACTAAACCACTGAGCCGGCCGGCATCCGACAGTGTTAATGTCTAACTTCAACCAATCTACCATACACCACCGTCTTCAATGAGTTAATATCTCACAACCGACCTGGTTGAACTCCCAGTTTTCCATTTTAATGTAACTTCAATTGATTCATGATTTCAACCAGTGAAATTTTTAAAATCTCCACAAAACCCCTTGTTAATTCTATCGAAGCGTCGAAGTAACCCCGATTGAGATACGCGCAAAATCGAAGTTCCAAAACAACGATTTTGTGCGTATCTTAATCGGGGTTACTTCGACGCTTCGATAGAATTAACAGTTCTCAACTTTGGTCTCATTTGGTGTGGATACAGTTCCAAACTTCGGTCTCATTTGGTGTGGATACAGTTCTGAACTTTGGTCCTAATTGGAGGTAATACTTGCTGTAACGAATTTGGCCGTAATCCTGTTTGGTTCATTCATCCCAACGATGACTAGAACGAGAAGAATGAAGTACAACGATGACAGTTCCCAAGACACAGACAATTCCAGTGCTGAAAATATTATTCCTTCACTTTCTAAGGTGAATTCATCTATTCCTTTAAATCTCGCCTTTGTAGACAAATCGTTGTTTTGGAAGTTCGATTTTGCGCGTATCTCAATCGGGGTTACTTCGACGCTTCGATAGAATTAACACCCCTTTCAGATAAGAAAAAAAAAAGAACAATTCAATTTCACTCTTACCTATTACTTATCATTCTTGTTACATTATATAATACCATTCCAAATGGTTGTCTTTTTGATGGTACAATATAAATAAAATCAATTTTAATACGCTGAATTAATTTAATCGTATGAATTATAGATAATGGTGGACATATAAATTCTTTATATAAATCCTGATTTAATATTTGCCAACATGAACTAGAATGTTCTTTTGTATAATTCTGATAATAAATAGTTTGTTTATATTCAATAAATTTCTTTCGACCATTTAAATAGAATGTTAATGTTACTGATTCATTGGCATTAATTGATTTTAAATGGATAATTTGTTTTAAACTAATTAAATGATACCATTTTGATTGATGAGAATGATTCGATGATGGATCTTTTAAAAAGATTTCTACATTATTTAAATAAGAATGATTCGGTAAATGATATAATAATAATGATTGTTGTTGTTGTTGTTGTTGATGATTAGTGAATTGATTCCATAATAAATAAGTAGTATATATAGATGGATGAAAGAAAAAGTTGAATAGAATACAAATAATAATGAATAAACAAAAACAACTAAAACATAATAAGATACGAATAAGTAACCAATATTTTTGTTTCCATATGAAATTCTCTTCTAAATTCTGATTATTATTAATTTGATTCGATTGTTTATTATTATTATTATTATTATCATGACAATGACTTAATAAATATTGACTTTCTTTCATCATAGAATTTATTGATTTCATATAAGAATCATTCGATTTCATATGTATATATGATATAAAACAAATCAATAAACGTAAACAAATCAATAGAATGATACATATACCTTTTATTAAATAACCAATCGATATAATTGATTCTTGACATGTATATAAATAAGTATATAATATCATTAATGGTAATTCAGCTATCAATATATTGATTATAGTAATACAATCAATCAATAACCATAATGTAAATTTATTTCTTATTATATTAAACCATAATAAAAATTCTATTAAATTCAATGTTAATTCAATAATATTAAATAAAATTATAGAATGGATCATAATATTGGATATTTGATCATAAACTAAACCAGGTAATTGTTGATTTAAATCATTGACAATAATCCAACTAGATAATGTATTACATAATAATAGAATTAATGTTATACATATATTGAATATAAGTATCCATGGTTTTATAAGATATTTTATTAGAATAGATGATTGTTGATTCATTTGTTGATTCATTTTAATAAGTAGTATAGTTTGGTTTTTTTTAATAATGATGAATGATATTGTTTGGTTGTTTTCTTTTTTGTATTTTATTCGTTAAACAAAACAAAACAAAAACCAGAACTGAAAAGTAAAATTGATTACACAATTGATTGTTGTTGTTGTAAATACTATTCATATGAGTATTATATTTCAAAGAATAGTAATCATCTAGTGAGGATGAGTACAATTATCGATTATTCCATATTGATTATGCATTTTACAGTGTGGTCTTCATAAGATTCTATAATAATAATAATAATACTTATTATTATTATCATTATTATTATGGTTAGCTTTATTCAATATTACATTCTTGGTACAATATAGAACTTCCAGTACAAATTATTTCAACAAGTTTCCTTTTCACAGATTGAAATTATGAGTCAGTTGAAGCTAGACCACCATATAAAACCTGGAAGCACTGGACGGCCGTTTCGTCCTAGTATGGAACTCCTCAGTAGTGCGCATCCACCATCCCGCACCCCGCAAGATTCGAATCCAAAACCTATCAGTCTCGCGCTAGACGCTTAACCAACTAGACCACTGAGCCGGCCGGGATTCAATGGTGTTAATGTGTAACTTCAACCAGTCCATGGAGTTACGCCACCATACACCATTGTCTTCAGTGAGCTGATATCTCACAACAGACCTGGTTGAACTCCACTGGTAACGGCTTCTCGCTAGAACTCCAAGAGTATCTCTTGAAGTCAATCATTAGTAAGCAGATGATTATTATCAGAAGGGGTTTGTGGAAATATTAGTAATTTCACAGATGTAAATCAAGTTTCCTTTTCTTAATTATTCATCAATCCTGACGATCAATATTAAGTGATCTCGATAGTGTAATCAGAAGATGAAGATTTGAAAGAATAGTAATCATTTAGTGAAGATGAATACAATTATTATTTCATATTGATTATGCATTTTACAATGTAAAGTCTTCATAGGATTATATAATAATAATATTATCATTATAGTTATTATGGTTAGCTTTATTCAATATAGAATTGACAGTACAAATTATTTTAACAAGTTTCCTCTTCTTAATAATTCATCAATCCTGACGATCAATATGAAGTGATCTCGATAGTGTAATCAGAAGATGAAGATTATCAGAACTATGTGATGATATATTAGTGTAATATCCTTTGAACAATCTGATCACATACAATATACTTGTTAAGATAATTTATATTTAAAAATAAAAGGTTAACTAGACTAGAAATGAAAGGTAAAAGGAGACAAGGATAATAAAAATATAATACTGGCTCAGAGGTCTAGTGGCTAAGATATCCCGGATTGGATGTTCGGTGGTCTAGCAGAACGAAATAAGTCAACTTGTATGTTAATAACGGGAAGTGGAAGTGCTGTTGGCACCTGTGCAACCTCTAGTGTCGTGTGAGCGGTACACATGCACGTGCACCGAGAGTAACTGGTTAATAATATTTAGCCAAATACCTCGTCATCTAATTAGTGACGCGCATAAATGGATTAACGAGATTCCCACTGTCCCTATCTGCTATCTAGCGGAACGACAGCCAAGGAAACGGGCTTGGCAGAATCAGCGGGGAAAGAAGACCCTGTTGAGCTTGACTCTAGTCCGACTTTGTGAGGAGACACGATGGATGTAGTATAGATGAGAACTGGGTGCTTCGTTGTCCAGCCTAAATGAAATACCACTGCTATCATTGTTTCTTTACTTATTCAGTGAAATGGGAACGAAATTGTATTTTGCTTCAAAGCACATTCCGGGGTGCATGGTCTATCGCTGCGTACCTCGGTATCCTGTGTTCGAATCTCGGGAGGCGAGTTCGTGGATGCGCACTGCTGAAGAGTCGTAAAATAGGAGAAAATGGCCGTCCAGTGATTCCAGATTTTTCATGGTGCTCTAGCTTCAATTGACTCATGATCCCAACTATGATATCCACAAAAATCACTTCTGATATCAAATAACGTGAAAACAATTTGAAATTGGATCACTCTAGATAATAGGCTAATATTACCAGGGTAGGCTTAAGGTGAGAACAAACTGTTTTTAAATACATAAAGGGGGTTAGAATTTTCGTATGGCTAAGGCTTCAATAAACCTTAGTAATATGCCTTTTCACACTTTTGTACAACACCACAAAAGACGGGTTAAGATAAATCTTACGATCTGTTTCAATTATGTGTTTGCCAATAGAGGATGATAGATGTTTATCCTCTACTCTTATTGAGTCATTTGAATCTGTTTGTTTCTGAAACCCGTCTAGGTACATGTTCACCCTAATTTGGAGATCACGATTACTCCTCCCTAAGTGATCGCCAGTTAGATAGTAACAGTTCAGGAATCAATATTTAAATAATGTTCATTCATTTCAATACATAGTGCCAGCAACTACAATGTCTAATCGACGAATCAATATAGACGTTTAATTAGAAGTTTATGGGAAAAAAGCTCGACAAAGTTACACTATTAAAATGAACTTAAGATATAAAAAAAGAAGACAAATTACTTCAGTGAAGCCACTTATGTATGAAGGAGTTGTTATTTTATACATTAGATGAACTTTGTTCATTATAGAAATAATTAAAGATGGAACAATTCGAAATTGGTTCACTTTCTTCCAACTAATTACAATATTTCTGATTAAGATCATGAATAGATCGATGTTATATCATTATTGAGAATCTAGAAGCACTAGACGGTCGTTTAGTCCTAGTATGGTACTCATGAGTAGTGCACATCCACGACTCTGCACCATAGGGACTCGAACCTTGGACCTCCGGTTTCGCGCGCGAATGTTTAAGCTCTAGAACACTGAGCCGACCGGCGTCTAATGGTGTTAATGTCTAACTTCAACCAATAGACGAAATTGTGCGACCATCTTCTATTGTCTGAGATAGATACTTGTCACTATCTGAAATAGATTAGCTCCACTGGTCATGGCTTCTCAATTGAACTCCGAGAATTCTCTCATGAAGCTAGTCGCTAGTGAGTATTTGGTAATTATTTGATTGAGATCATGAATCGATCGATGTTAGATCATCATTGAAATATTATTATGTAAACATTTATCTATATAAATAGTATTTCAGTGAAAGTAGGAAGATCATCCTACTTTCTATTTTGTTTTTCATAAATTTATCTTCAAAGTTAACCTTTATACTTTGACACATTTACCTAATTCCTCTGAAATGTCAAGTGATAAGTTTATTTGTTTATCTCACTTCTGATTTATACACAATATACTCGTGTTTCTTAAATGTTTAACCCATCTGTTAAGCAAATGTGAAAACTGAGAATGATTAGTGTAGTTCGACATCAAAATCGAATGAATATACATTTACAATACATGGTCTTGAAGTAAAAGATATATATGCTTTTTCTGCAACACATGACATGCCTAGACTCATACGGCCTATCATTCACATGAGAATGAACATGTAGTGGTAAGTAAATCCTTAAAATAAATAGTTTTGTAAGTTTTCAACGTTGATACAGAACTTATTCCTTTCACTGGATACATCCCTTATTGAAGAATTTCGGTCAATTATCCTCATCAGAGCATGCTTGTGTATGCCATGCTACTTATCTGTTATTATAACGGGTCAGTCTAGATTCTATATACTACATTACATTGATCTTAGCCCCAAATGTACTTTCATATCTAGTCATTCTTGATTTCTGGTTTTATTAGCTCTGGGATCGTGTAAGAAGTCATTTCGGATAGTGCTGTCATATTCTACGTATCCTTGATCACTTCGAACAAAGTACTATAAAAAGCCGTCCTGAACAATAATCAATTGTTAATTAATGATTAGCTTCTGATGATAGGATTGAGATGTCATCAGTCTTTCGTAAGCACAACAACAACGCCTATTAGTGATCTAAAACAAAACATCAGGAAGGTAAATTTCAACAAATTTTACAAAACTTCCTGATGATGGCCTACAGTAATGATTGTTTGAGAAAGCAACTTTCAAGCCTCAATTAGAGAAACATCAATACAATGATTATGCTTATTGGTAGATTATGAAAATAAGAGAGAGTGGATTGTGACTAAAAATAGTCTTTATTCAGGTAGCACGGGGAAATTGGGTCTACAAAAACAAGCAGATATCAAAACTATTACTCAAGCATACGGATTATTAACACACGTTTAGGCTAATTAACTGGGATGCATCGACTATGCGTATTGTTTATCCGTTTGAATAGACAGAAGCTATACTGTAGTGGTTTATTGTCCACTAACAGACATATGTTTAATTAGTGTTGGCTACCAAATTTTCGGCAATATTGAGAAGGATATTTTAACTTGAAGCATGAAGGACTAGCAGAAACTGATTTGTTAATTTTATAGGACAAAATCATGATGTGCTAAGAATATATTTTAGATTGATTGATATCTTAGCTACAGTAGGAGTGACAGGAGTGATTTGATCAGATATCTTTATTTATCATCTAATTATAAGTGAAGATGAATTGTGGGTAGCATTGGGATCCAGGATGCGCGTTTCATCCTATTTGGGACTCGTTAGCTGAATGTACCCGTATCCCAAAGTTGACGTACACTCCGGGACTTGGCATATATGCCTATAAAAGACTGGTCAATTGCAGCCCTAAGCATCAATGGAAAGATTTAAACGACTAATACGAAAATGAATTAAAGCATCATGTAAGTAGTTTATAACATAACATAGAAGTTCACTCTAAATAATTAAAATATGACTAGTATGAATAGTAAAATCGTTGGGCGAACGACGCTAGCAAAAGAGAAATCTGAGGAAAATTCCTACATGGAAGTATGTTTATTGATAAGGCACTCGCTTTCACCAGATATCTTACTGCGATCATATTCCTAGCAAACGGTATTACCACTACAGGAGTAATAACGATGGTACAATTAGAGATCTAAAGATAGCGTATTTGGGTAATGTGGTTATAAATTTCAACAATCGAAATTATAAAACATACTAACTAACTACTTTGC